TATCCAAACTAGTACAAAAGTTTTCAAAATGAAAAACTATACTATGAAATATTTAATGGTAATAGGGTAAAAAATAAAATGAAATAAATTATTAATTTAATAGATTGTTTTAAAAGCTTCAGATAAAATTTAGTACCTATTCCTGATAAAATGGTAAAATAGAAAAAGTAAAGTATTTTTTTCAATCTGATAATGATGTTGAGTATTTATACTAGTTAGATAATTAATAGTTTATACTAGTTATCAACATTAAAATTAAAAATTCTAGAATGTAAAAATTCTAGAAAAGAATGTGTTTGAAAAGGGTGTGGTGAAGGTACTATAATGGATTTGCATAATAACAATATTACTTWCTAGTATTTTAAAAACCCTAGTCAATGTAATAAAACAGCCTAAAAAAGAAGAGCTTTAAAAAGTGAAAATAAGATACAACYTATCATTATGTACTGGAAAAATATTTTTAGTTTGAAAACCTAAATGAATCAATGAAAACATGAATAAATGTAATGAATTAGTAAAATAGTAGAATAAAAACACTAACATAAATCAACAGTATTTCTAAATAACAGCAACCATTATCTGAAACATGAAATTTTAAGAGATTTACCTTATAAGAGCAATAAAATGTGTAACTCATAATAATACCTAACCAATGTATGAGATAAGAAGAAGATCACATTTAGCCAATACATGATATACAATCACATTTATTTGCAAACACATATATTTGCAAACATAGGAAAATATCAGCCTTAACAATAATCAAATGAATATACACTAAAACAAAAATAAGTTATATTTAGATTTAATCAACTACTTAAAAATTAGGGACAAGGACTTGTACTCCCAGCTATTATATTTAGATATCACCCTCCCCAAAACAAGTAAAGCTGGATGAAGTCTAACAAACATGGTTTGAAGACATTGGAGAGCTTTAAGTTGGAGAGAACTCTAGAGACCAAGAACCCAAAGAGCAGGGACTCCAAAAGAGATCTCACTTATCTCAACCACCATCAGGAGCTAAACATTACATTACATTTACTCATATTTTCATTGATTCGTTTAGGTTTCCAGTTAATGAAGATGTGATCTTCCAGAGGCACAAATTATCTTAATGATTTTCCATACAGTGTCTAGTATTCAGTAAAATTACCAGACATATCTGAATACAGGATAAAGTAACCAAAAACAGACCTAGAATAAATTCAGATATAAGAATAACAGACTTGGAAATATTTGTGATTAGTAAGTTAAGCATAGTGGATCAGAAAATTAAAATTTCAGAAGATTAGTGGTAACTATAATAAAGAAACACATGGAAATTCCAGAAATAAATCGGAAATTGTAAGAAATTTAAAAATCAGTAGGTGAATAGAAGAGAACGTTAGAAACAGTTGAAGAATATACCAATGAACTGGAAGACAAAGCAATAGAAAATTGTGTGCATTGAAAATGGTTTTGTATATATGTGGTGACATATAAATCTACATAATACTTTTTGGAAATAATTTGGTGACATGAATCAATTATTTGAACAAAAAAATGTTTATGTCTTTTGAACCACTAATTATTTTCTGGTATATCAAAAAACCAGGGCATTCTTTCTCTGAGCTACATCCCCACCCCTGTTTTTTTTTTATTTTTTATTTTTTTTATTTTGAGACAGGGTTTCATTAAGTTGCTGAGACTGTTCTCAAACTTGCCAACTTCCCCAGTCACTGGGATTATAGGCATGTGCCACCACACCCAACAGACCCATTAATCTTATCAGAAAGTATCATAAGGAAGTAATTTTTTAAATGTGTATTTTCTCACTATCTCTAGACATTTTAAGTGCTTTATTTCAATTAATGCAGTTAATCCTTACAATAACCCCAGGTGGTAGCTACTAAGCCCATTTTACAGATAAGGAAACTGAAACACTGAGAGGTTGAGTAAGTTACTTAAGGTTATATAACTCCTGAGTAAAAGAGAAAGGATTTGAATGAGGCTGTCCTCGTCCATATGTATTTTATGCTCTAGGCTTTTGGAAACAACCTAGATAGCTAAGAGCTGCAGACTTACTAAATAAATAAGTACATTATACCCAGTCTATGTAATATTTTGCAAGTATTAACAACCAAATTCTAAACGCTTTTAGCAGTATGGGAATGACTTCTGACATAATATAARRRGAAAAAAAGCCCCTAAAATCACAGACAAAATCAAATTGAAAAATATACATAAAAATATGATAGGAAATACCTCACAAGACTAACACAATTACATGAGGTTAGTAGCACA